TCCTGCTGCTGCATTTCTTAGTAACGCTAAGCACTGAGATTTCCACTAGCGGTGACTGCGCTGTCTTTCCCAAGTAGTGACAGCTGATCTGGGGCCCATCACACACCCATTTGTGTGTGTAGGGTTAGGGCACTCTCCGGGGCGTGTGTTAGGGTTCTCTCCTAACAGGGTTTGTGTGAAGGCTCGGTATAAGCACCCACCCTCCAGCACCCACTGCTAGTTCTATCATACTTCAGACAGAGCTTATAGCGAGAGTAGCCAGCCAAAGTGATGATAAAATTGTTTTAAGATGTGCAATCGGTACTCTTTATCACTGTTTTCTGGTTACAAATTTTAAGGGGCAGCTGATATGTTACCTGGGATGTAAGCAGATTAAAGGAGACATTATAAATCAGAACTTTTTGAGCAGAGGGGAAAAAAAACTTTGGTTGTATGTCTTAAAATTTAGTTCACGGCAGTCATGACTTTTGTTCTGCTGAATGCTGCCTTGCTATTACTAAACAGAGCTGCACAAGATAGTGGGCAGGCACCATTTCTGAATATTGGCTTTAAGCTCTGGCTGTCTTTTAGCCAATGTCCTGTGGAACTACAGACAAATGGAGCAGGAATTCAGGATTATGTGGCTGTAGGCCTGCCCAGGGGAATTTGGATTGCATTCACAATACTGAAGCTTGGTGTGTGCTCAACCATGCAAGGCCATACTCAGCACTGTCATTCAACAGTTTCACAGAGCCTTCAAAATGTTACATGGGACACGTTCATCTTTTCCTCTCTTGTCTTGGCTGAAGAAGAAGAAATAATGTCCCTGGTCTGAAGATTTCACTTCTTTTCAACCCAACAACTCCTTCCTTTTCTTGCTATTGATTAAAAATGTAACAGTCTGCAAGGGTTAATTTTACATTTAATTTTTCCTGTGTTTATAAACTACTCTGAGGCAACTGAACCAGGCAACATAAATATGGGAAAAATTACGTACTTAATACATCAAAGCTTGTGATCCATTTGTTGTTCCTCTGAAAGATTCTGAGACAGCCTCTTGTAGAACCTGAGGATGCGGAATCAGAATTGGAGCAGGGGAGTTAGATGGCAAGCAGTAACTTGGATTTACCTGCAATACCAGTAAGATGAAAGAAGTTACCAGGCATGGGTATTCTTTAAAATCATTGCTCCTAGCTAGCTGACTTCCCTCGCCTTCCTCGCTTCCGATAGCCCTTTGACAGCGCTCTCAGCTCCTACAGCGACGAGGTATCAGTTGAGCTGTATGACACACGCTAGTGACCGAGTTGTGCATCAGGCATATCTGGTAAGCATTGCTTTGGTGGAAAAGCAGCATGGAAGTGCACAGCGTGTGAGTGAAGCATACCGTGGAAGCACCCGGGGGCAACGCGTCCTACAGGCTCCACTTACAGGTAAGTAATCTTATCTTCTGACTGCCAACTTCAGTGGTTTCCCAAACCTACCCCCATAGCATAGACCGGCTTGTGGTCACTCCCTCCCAGGGCATCTCGGAATCTGAAATCAGCCCACAGCTTCCTTTCCTCTTAATTGGCAGTGTCTTTAAGATCCCCATCCTCAATCTTTGAAAAAAAGCTGCCTGGTCCCACCAGGCATTTGAAAAACAACCAGGCAGAACTCATCTTACTATTCTGTCTTATCTCCCTCATCCCCCTGCCTTACAAGAGCTTTTTACTTTATATCTCTGCCTTTATATAGGCTAATATGAAAATGGTAAAGTGAGTTTCAGGAGCTAGATGTAACAAAATATAGCTGCATCCCCTAGGAAGGTCTCTTCTAACTAAACAGCTTTCAATCACAAAGCAAAACGGGTAAAGAAGGGAAATGTTCTCTGAATAGTTTCCAATTCTAGGGCTGTACCTTCCTCCATGTCAGTTTATACTGCCAGGTCGCATTTTTTCTGTGTTTTCCTTAGCCCTTTCAGTGGGATCCATTACATTACTCTTCCATTACAATCTGCACCTTCAAGCTTCAGAGAGAGGGTTCCCATTGTGTTCTTCCACTTCACCTTTCCTCGTAAGACCCTTACTTACTCCGCTAAACTTTTCCAGACGCACTCTTGTGTTCTCCAGCCCCGACTAATTGCTGTTCCTCTTCATTACAGCAGCTTCTGCCTGAACCTCAGCTTCAGCCAGGTCTCTGGATCTGACCTGGCATTGCTCTAAATGCAGCTTTGCTTAAGCTGTTCTAGTCAAGGAGCAGTTAGTCTGAGTCCCGTGCCTTATTGTTTAGGCCGTAATAGATTGATAGATACTTGGTCACCTATTTTAGCCATTTGTAGAACACAAATTTGTCATGAGTTATTTCAGCAGTAGCATATCTGCTAGAAAAATACGCAGCCTTAATTTGCAAATGATCGACGAATTGCTTTTCTTTGTAGGTCTTAAGATCTTAATTACACAGCACTATACAATATTACTACTAATAAAAAAATAATACTAATAAATAATTCTATTTTAATTTGACCTGCAGCTGGCTTTTGTTCCAAAAATAGCCCTTCAGTACCAGTAGTTTCTCCTTGTGGGAAGGTAAGTTAATGAATTAATTTTTCATTCTTCTTTATGATACGGAAAGAAGTCGAGCTACTTACTGCTAACTGTAAATTGCTAGCTGAAAATACCTTTCCCGAAATTGCTCTAGAGCTCAGTGTGCTGCTTAACGATGAGCTGCCGCTTAAGGCGTTCACAAGACCACCTGCTCTACTAACGTTGCTGTTCATATTCTGTTCTTACCACCATTTCTTTCTAATGCACTGTAAATCTTCATACTGCTCCTTGGCACGTTAAAACAGTTAAAACACTAAGGCACATTTTGTTTAGGTGCCACTTACCCATCCTGCAGTTTTAGCACTCCCACAGTCTTCGTACGTTGTACTTGCCAGGTCTCTTGAGTTTTCTCTCATCTATTTGCATCTTCCACTCACCTGAGCATGAACGCGTTATTTGAGTACCAGAGCTGTTGCCATGCTGGTCCCTGGCAGGAAACTGGTGCGGTTAGAAATAGAATTATTTTGGTGAAGGTTGTGTGTGTTTGCATTACTTTGGTCTGTGAGAACAGATTCCATTTATCCTATTTGTAGGTCAGTTACGCCATCAGTGGTGTAAACTGTGCTGTCCCTTATCATTTTGTGGCCATTCATATCCAAAAGTCTGTAGAGACATTGTGCTTTCAACTCTTACACGCAATGGAAAGCTGCTCATGTTTTGTATTTTTCATCGTTGCTCATTATACTGAAGTTCATGCATTCATGAGAAAATTCTTCCCTGGCAGCTCTTTGTTTTTGCTCTCTTTGGTCTCTTTCCTTTTCATAAAGGCTATTTGGCAAGTAATGAGGCTTTGCCAAGTGCCTTCCTGCAGGGCTTGTTTGTTTTTTTTTTTTTTTTTTTTTTTTTTATCAGCTGAAGAACCACAATAGTTTTCTAGCAAATCAATTTTTCTTTTTTTTTAAATTAAAAAGCCACCTTATGTAATGGTTGTCTTAGTGGGATTCAGAGATCTGTGGGCTGGGCCTGATCAGTCCTTGACTGTAATGCATACGTACAGGCTGCCTGGGGGGGCAAAAGGGACCCACTAATTAACCCCGGCGCTGACTGGGGAGGAGGAGGGTTCCCTTGATGAGCTGTTCAAATACAACAACTTCTGGTCCTCTGGTATGCTTCAGCATAGGCATCCCCACCCTTGTCCGGGCAGTTAAGCAATCCTTGGCCTCTCAGCTGAAGTTTCTCAGAACAAGAGCACTGGGCAACACTGAATTACGCTGGGACTACCCCCAACAGCCTTCGCCCCTCTGGCCTGATAACCCCGGCCTCCGTATCAGCCAGTTTTGTTTTACATCCGGGTTTGGGTGAAACCGGGAGCCGCGGGTCTCCGAAATGCTTTTCAATTTAACTGTTTGTTTGCAGCATTTAACCGCCGCTGTCTTGAACTCGCTCGAGGAGGCAACTTTACGGAAGACGAAGAAGGCTTTTCCTGCCGCCCCTGTTCCCCTCTCC